GGAAATGTTTGCAGGAAAACAACCAAGCTCAGAGAACCCCAAGGACTCCACAGTTCAACCGTGAGCTACATGTATTCTCTTCTATTGGCACTGTATGCTTTTTCCTCTGCCCTAGGCAAAGCAGTAAAGACGTGGTAATCTCCAGCAAATTGCACAGGGCACAGAGGGGATTAAGCATGCAACCACCAAGAACTCTGTTGCTCCTCCAGGAGTGCTCAGGGCAAGGTAGTTTCCCCTTTCCCACAGGCTATTTTCCAGTGGCATTTAATGAGAGAATGTAAAACCCTGAGTGTAAGCAAAGTAGTTGTCCTCTGAATTGGTTTAAATTGGATCTAAAACAAGATTGGAATGAAATCTGATGTCCAGTATGCCTTATTTTGTTGTAGATTTTTTTGTAGAGGTTGAAGTAGGGAACTATTATTTGCATTAAAGTTATTCTGAAAACATTGTCCTATTCCTTTAGCCATGGAACTAAAACATTTTACAGCTTAAGAAGTCAATTACTGGAGGAAATAATAATAGTAATATAAGTAATACTACAGTTTTAAAGGCTGTGCAATAAGCAAGCTGTCTCTATTCCACAGATATGTAATAAAAACAAGATCTTAAAATACACATCAAGATCAAAACCAAATGGGCATATTCTGAAATCAGTGCAAACATCCTGTGAGAAGAATGAGTGTTTAACAAAACAGAAAACTGGATCAAGACTTTCAGTGACCAAAGGTAGTAAACATCCTGAAACTCTGATGTTTACCAAGGATTCATCAAAAGAACCCTGTAATAGAGATGATGCTTTTATAATCCAAAAAGACAATACAACTGCAAAGCCAGATAATACGAAAGTTTCAGTTAAGAAACCTTTGGCATCCAACAAGAAATTTAAAAAGCATTCTGCTTCTGTCGAGGATCTAAGGGACAATTTGGTATGTTTAACACAACAGCAGCTGGAGCAGATTTTAATGGCAGTAAAAGAAGGAAGCCAAGCAGCCCCTCAGGTTCGGGATGAGAAGAAAGCAGAAACAAGTAAGATTTTTCTTTTCTTCACCCCGTACACAGGCATTCTCCCCTGGGAAAGGAGAAGTGGGAAGGGGTATGCATGCCTACACCTTAGCATTGCTAGCAGAAGTCAAGAGAGACAAAGAGAAAGAGTGGCTTATAAATTTGCATGGTAAATTAATTTCAAATATCTAACAGTGACACTTACTGAATTAATTAACTAGAACAAGTTCTGTTAAGCTGGAAGAGTAAAAATACTAAATCCAATTGCCAACATGTTTTCTCCAATGATACGGTTTTTGCATAGCTCTAATGAGTTCCTCCTTGTTCTTTTATTTATTATGGGGTAGGCACTATTTCTTTGCAAGGGCCCACATTAAAAAAAAAATTATGTCACATGACTGTGCAGTACTAGGCATTTTGGCCTTTTTTCATTTTGGTGAATTTGGGGTCAGGGGCACCCCAAATTAGATTATGCAGGTTCACAAAATTAGAGGATTTATTAGGCCTATTTTAAGGCCTAAATCATTAAATCACACTGCCCCAAATTGCCGTTTTGCTGCTAAATTTTAGCAGTATAGTCCCTGGAGGTGATAGGCACAGCACAAATGTGTCAGGGCAGAAGGCACAGTACAATTGTCTTCCTCTGGTTTAACAAGAAGGTTCCAGTTCCCAAACAGCTGTAACATTTTACTCTGTATGGTTTTTATATTGTTTTTAATGTGTGCATTTGTAAACTGATTCAAGATGCTTTTTTATAATAAGTAGAATAAAATACTACATGGTAAAAATTAAAATAACTTTATGTATAGCAAAGGAAACCATAACATTCAAGTATGCTTTTGGAAAAGGGTGTTCAGCGATGGCTAGGGTCACTATTCCAGTCTAGGGGAAAAGGACAATTACAATTCAGATGCGTCTAGCTTAATTCAGATATCACATCAGTTGCAAAACCATGGTAAACTACAGTGGGGCAAAAAAGTATTTAGTCAGCCACCAATTGTGCAAGTTCTCCCACTTAAAAAGATGAGAGAGGCCTGTAATTTTCATCATAGGTATACCTCAACTATGAGAGACAAAATGGGGGGA